AATTCATAATTTTACCGAAAGCCAATCAGAGCACACTGGGCTTTTCAGAAGGGCTTCTAAGGAGACAAAGTGTTTGTCCTTGTCGTTTTCTCTCATGTTGCTCGTCAAAGTTATCAGTACGTTAATCAAGCCAAATAAGGGCAAAACTATTCGATAGGTTGCAACATGTCTGACCCTGAAGTATTTTAAAACTTCACACCATAACCTCAGAGCAGAAGTCGACTGAAGAGCGTCACATCAGAGCAGACGCTCTCTGACAGCCTCAGGTCTGCAGCAGGACTTCAGACTCTCCTCCAGGATGAACAGAATAACTCAGCAGGAAATGGGTAATTCAATATATTCTAATTTGTGAGTGAGTGTAAAACATTGCTTTTTCCTTTTACCGAGACATTGTCTAAAAATGTTCCTATTCATAGTGTTTCTGATTCTTGACCAGATCTGAGCAACAAAGGGTTTAAAATAACATTTATTTCAAATTTGATCTTTAAAATTGTGATTTTCAAACTCTGATAAACACAGAATTATAAATTCAATGCATTTGTTTCTCTCAGAATAAATTGAGTAAGAAACTGGCGATGTCTCAACATCTTCTTACGACAAAATCTACAAAGTCAGATTTTAGTTTGTCCAATGGATTTAGTTTCAGCAGAAAGATATTTGTTTGTTATTTTAAAGAAAATGTCAGCGTGAGAACCGAACAATTCTCTGTGTGTGGTTTTTAGTTCTGCTTTAGATTCATATCTGGAGTTTAACGTTACTCGTACATTAAGACTCAACACATTTGTTATCTCTCTATGTAGAAGTGCGTTGTTGACTTCTGCTTCTGATCCCTTACATAACGGCTACTGTTTTCAAATATCGGTTTAATCCCAAAATCCACCTTTCAGTGTTTCAATGGTTCCTCGTGGATGCTCAACATGCTGGGAGTAAAACTGCACTCAAATATAAATGATGTGTTTATCTTTCAGAGGAAATTGAAGAAGAAGAAGATGACTATGTTAATGCCTCAAGAGGCGCTGTGGATTCAAAGAGAACCCGTCCAGGTGCATCATGAACACAAAACAATCCATGTTTAATATTCTCAACAATGGGATTTATGTAGCAATCACAGTGTTCAGAAAAGGGAGTAAAGAAAGTTGAAAGTGTGAATATTTAATTGTCTCTTTTTGTTCTACATGTATCCTAAGCATCTGTGGCTGTCATGTTGTTTAGGTTTTTTAACTGAATTATTATTTTTCAGGCCGGAGGTTTGTTCTTCTGATAGCAGTGTGTTGGATCGTACTGTTAGCCATCATGGGTCTCCGTATCTACTGTGAGTATCTTCTGAGTGAAAGTCAGTTCAACAGTTTGTATTAGATGTGACCTGAAGCTCTGTAACTCCGTCTGTTGATCCAACAACATCTCCTCTCGTTTGCTGCAAAGATTCTGCAATAGGAGGCTGAAATGTGTGTTAAGGGAAGTGTGTGTGTGAAGGGGGAAGTGTGTGTGTGAAGGGGGAAGTGTGTGTGTGAAGGGGGAAGTGTGTATGTGTGAAGGTGTCTGCTTGTGTTCTCCATCATTTGCAAAAGGCAGTGGTTTGAAATGTCAGAGCTGTTGTAAGAAGTCTACAATACAGAGGAGACCAGTCACTTTCCAAATGCATGTAGCTCGTTGCTTTGTGAAGCAAACATGTGAACCCTTTCTTCAATGTTTATCAAGAACATTCAAACACTCAGAGACACAAGCCTTACAGCCCAACACCTTCCTCTGTCTGTGTCTGTAGTGACCTCTGAACTTTCAGGAAACAATGCCGAGCTGTACTCACGAATCCAGGAGCTGGAGACACGGGAGAACAACTTGAAACAACACAACACAAAACTCAGCTTAGAAAATGCAAACTTGACGAGGGACAACAAGAATCTGACGCACCAGTTGGGCAACCTGACACAAGCCTATACTGTCTCAGAGAGCAACAACAAAAACCTCTCTGCAGGAGTCCAGGAGCTGAAAACACGAAACAAGGAGCTGAAGACCAAGAAGAACAACTTGACACAGAAAATAAAAAACCTGACAACAAACTGGAATGAGCTCAGCATCAGTCGAGCTCAGTGGAGCATCGATTCCTACTGCTTAGGAAACACCGGTATGTTCAGATCCTATATATTAGGTCATAATAACAATATGTTCAAAAGGCAGGCATGATGTTGATTGTTTGGACTCTGTTGTTTCAGAGGATAAGTGTCAACCTTGTCAGAATGGCTGGTTACTCACTGAGCCCAGCTGCTATGCGTATAATGACGCTCAGCCTGCTAATCAAAAAACCTGGGAAGAAGCTCAAGAAGACTGCAGTGGAAAGAATTCAGATTTGGCTGTTGCACATGATTCAGAGGAAAAGGTAAACCCATTAATATGATGCGATTAGAAAGTAATTGTGTTTTGTGTAGGTTTGAACACACTTTGGGTCTTTAGGTCATTATGTGTTTATTACAGTTTAATGTTTAAATATCTGACAACTCTCTCTCTGTCTTCCAGGAAGCAATCCATAATGACAGCTTTGGAAATAGAGGATTCTGGATTGGTCTGAGAGTTGAAGATGGGGAATGGAAGTGGGTGGATGGAAGTGATCTGACTGATAGGTAAGAGACACATTACTAAACACTTTGAATAATACAATCTATCAGACTTCATCTAAACATCATGTTCTCTCCTCAGCTCCTGGATAGTTCCTCCTACTGACGGTCGCTGTGCATTGTTTTACAAGGGCAGAAACACATGGTCATCAGTGAGCTGTGGTGCAACACATCAATGGATCTGCCAGAAGAAGGCTCTCTCTGTTTAAACAAAGCAGTCAGACTAAGAAGGTTACTGGAAACTCTTTGAGAAACAGATGAATTACTTGTGAATAAAAACTAATTCCAAACAAAAATATAAAACAAAAAAAGGATAAAAACAGTAATTCCAGAAACGTTTCTCAAACTGGATAAAAACAATAAAACACAAAAGTTAACTCATAATGTGGATTATTTTAAAATCGATGTACTTTCAGTTTGACTTAATTTCTATGGAGCTTGCTAAATTAATGCAAATATGTATTTCTTTAACATGTGATGGTGTTTTTATTAGATATGGATGGTTAAAATAGTTAAACTGTTTAGTGTGAATAATGTTATTCTATTGTGTTAGAGATGCAACGCTTCAACTCTGCAGATTATTGCAAAGACTATGGACCATTTTATTGTATTGCTTCTACCGGCCAGCAGAGGGCGCTGCATCACTTGTTCTCAATACAAAGTTCCAGAGTCTGTTGAATAACTATGTTTCAAGATTCAAAGGTTTATCGTCATGACATTTAGAAACTACGGTGTGATTATGTAATGTATAAAACATGTGATCTCAGGTTCCTTAACAGTGCAATTAACAAGACATAAGAAATACATATAAAAAACAACAATACAAATAGAAATAGTGCAAGCTCAGGGGTTTAATAGTCTGATGGCCAGTGGGGTGAAACTGTCCCTGATGCTATTCTGATGACGCACAGTTTATGGATGATTTGTATCTATCTGTATTTTTGTCTTTGAGCAATGTCTTGTTTCACTCTGTTGTCTCCAGTGAATAAATGTGCTGCCACACATTGTTGTTTTTGTGTTTCTCTTGAAAACATCAGTGCTTTAATCAAGTCTGGAGAAACAATCTGATTCATGTTGCGACCATTTGGATGAGAATAAGATAGAAGGAGATCAGACCTCAATATCCAGTCACTCTGTCAACATCAGCACCAGCAGAGTTCAGAGAGGGACAGGAAGTGGAGGTGGATTGGCCAAAAGAAGAGCAAACACTAAGTAAGATGTATGTATGATGATAAGATGAGATAATAGTGTTTAAACTCATCGATGCATCAGTGTCCATCAATGCTGCTCAGTTCCTCTAACCCTTATGTTGTGTTCAGGTCTCCTTTAACCCACGGGGGTCAAACTCAAATACAGAGTGGGCCAACATTTAAAAATGGGTACCAGTCGAGGGCCGGACTGGTTCAATGTTTATTGCAGAACTTATTGAAATGAACTTATTGCACATATTAAACCTGGAACTAACAAAGCTTCAATGATCGCCTATAAAAACAACATTAAACATTAAATAATCAGTAGCATTCATTTCTTATGGCTCTATCTGCAGCTTTTCCAGAGTCATTTCTTGTGAGTACATTTCCCCACAGGCCAACAACAGCTTCAAAAAAACTATTCCCCTCAAAGAACAAACCAAACATGCCCTGTTGTCGTGAGAGAAAGTGCAGAAGGAAACATCCATTAAACTCAGTGTGCTGCTCTGTGATGCTAGTTCAGATACTTGGCATCTCATCTTGGGAGCAAGGTCATCAATGTTTGGGCTCAGGCTCTGAGCTGAGGGAGACCCTCAGGATGGAGTGAAGGTGTGCTGCAATATACCGGAGGGCCAGATCTAATAGTAATTAGAAATTATTCTGTGGGCCGAAATTAAATCCACCACAGGCCTGATTTGGCCCCCGGGCCTTGAGTTTGACAAATGTGCTCTAACCCTTATGTTGTGTTCAGGTCTCCTTTGACCCTTTTCAAGTTAACATTATATAATAACTACCTCTAGTTTTGATCAGAACAAGGCTTCATGATATCCTCCACAACAGCTCTATGAACACTAACTGATTTTGACCATTGTAGCCAAGTCTGTATAGTCTCTACAGACTTATAATAGTCAGGAGAAACAATCTTATTCACGATGATGTAACATGTTTTAAAATGAACCAAAAGTAAATCAATATTTAGTCTCTAGCAGAGTTCCAGAGAGGGACAGGAAGAGGCATTGAGAGCATTTTGGTGACTAAACATACGTTTTTGGGGCCTAGAAATCCATGGAGATCCACATTGCAGTTAATATGATTATATTAGGAAATCCAATATGTTGGACGTGTGACTCTATTAAAACCCGGTGAAAGGGCCGCACGTTTTCAAGTTCCGGTTGAGACTATTTGGGAAGTATCAACATGACATGAGAACAGGAGATTAAAAAGATGCCATCTCCACCTCGAAGCAGAAGTCGACTGAACCGTCACATCAGAGAGACGCTCTCATCAGGACTGCAGCAGGACTTTGTTCAGGACCAAAGGAAACATAATCGAGGATATGGGTAATTAAAGAATATTCCAGAGTGTGTGTGTGTGTGTGTGTGTGTGTGTGTGTGTGTGTGTGTGTGTGTGTGTGTGTGTGTGTGTGTGTGTGTGTGTGTGTGTGTGTGTGGTGTGTGTGTGTGTGTGTGTGTGTGTGTGTGTGTGTGTGTGTGTGTGTGTGTGTGTGTGTGTGTGTGTGTGTGTTGTGTGTGTGTGTGTGTGTCTAAGATATAACCTATGATATGTTTTTCTTTGTATATATAGTCATACAAGGAAAACATGTTGGTAAAGACCAACATGTTTTCCTTGTATGACTATATATACGTAAGTTGCTTTTGAGGCTAGACCACTCCCTAGCAGCACATTATTTTAAATATCCAAATTGATATAAGATTGAATCTTTAAAATTGTAATTGATCAGCTCTGCTGAACATAGAGACATCATTTTTGGAGAGTGAATTAGGGAAGAAGCTTGTAGTTTATCAATATGTTAACCACACATGATGATCTATTGTACTAAATACTAAATGTGCTTCATTTTCAACAATAACATGAACAAATGTTTTATTTATAAGATTTGAGTTTGTCTAATTGGTCTTTAATCTCGTTTTAAAAAGTCAGCACGATACACTTCTCCGTGTGTTTTTAGTTCTGCTTTTCTGCTCCTGATGCTTTGCGTGACAGCAACTGATTTAACATCGTTGAGTTTGATTATAAACTCCATCCTTTAGTGAAATGGTTCCTCATGCGTGCTGAACATAATGGGAGGGCAGCTGCATATCTGATGAAACAGTATGTGTTTATCTTCCAGAGGAAATCACAGGAGAAGCTGACTATGTGAATGCACCAGAAGGCCCTGCGGATAAAAAGGCAACGCGTCCAGGTGAGCTGTGAACACAAGCAAACATGAGATTTATTCAACAGTCATATTATTTAAATAAAATAGTGATGAAGGTTAAACATGTGAATATTAAATCATCTCTTTTTATTTTATATTAACTGTTAATTCATGTTCAGTTACGTTACTCAGTCCAGAGGCCGCTTTTATTCAATGCATTTTCCACCAATAGCAGTGTGTTTGCTGATAGCCATTATACAATCCATATTTTGTCCAATGGTTTTTGAAGTTTGATCATATTGGGAGTTACATTCACATCAATGCACACAATGCATACTTAATAATAATAATAATGTCTTGTTTTTCCTTACTGCACATCATGTATTACAATTCTATTCATATGATTATAACCATATGAAATGTTATTAAAATTCCCCCTATATGTTCACCTACCTGGTAATAAACCTGTTTCTGATTCTGATAAACTTCATAAAAACACATGACGTCTATATTTTTCAGAGGACACCAAAAAAGGATCTGCACCAGAAGGCACCGTGGATACAAAGGCATCCCCTCCAGGTGCATGATCAACACATTTCACTATTTAATACTGTTAACACGTTTAAAATAAACATGAAGGTAAAACAGTGAGATAGTGACAAAGGTTGAAATGGTTTAGCTATTTTCGTGGTGTGTTTATAATGTATTGAAAGCAGGGGTACTCAAACTTTTTTGTTAAAGGTCCCCTTGTGAATTTTATACAAGGTCAATGGTCCGGATCAATGCCAGTTTGAGAAGCCCTGCCTGTTAAATCATTTTAGGCCATAAGACTGCTAAACTCCTGAGCTTGCACTATGTGTATTGATTTGCACTGTTTTAAGTATTTTATATGTTTATATATTGCATGTTTTAACCAACTTGCGACCTCAGTTTTTAGACTAAACTGTATCTGTGTATATGACTTTAAAACCTTCGAAACCTTTGTTTAGGTTTTTTAACAGAATGCTTGTTTTTCAGGCTTGAGGTTTGTTCTTCCGATAGCAGTGTGTTGGATCATACTGTTAGCCATCATGGGTCTCCGTATCTACTGTGAGTATCTTCTGTGTGAATGTCAGTTCAACAGTTTGTATTAGATGTGACCTGAAGCTCTGTAACTCTGTGTGTCGATCCAACATCTCCCCTCTCGTTCGCTGCCACACATGTTGCAATAGGAAGCTGCCATGTGGCGTGAAAGTGAAGCGTGTGTGAAGGTGTTTGCTTGTTTTGCTAATTGTGCAAAAAGCCGCAGTTTAAAGTTGTTCCTGTTCTTCAGTAAGCTCCGTGACTTATCCTTCCTGATGTTCAAGCTGGCTCTGTGCAAATATGTATTTCAGTGTTTGATATTTCAAGTACTTGAGATAACAAACGCACTGTAGACTGCAGAACGTTCCATAGTATAGAATATAATGTTGCACTAAACAAAGCAGTTGTTCACGTGTTCATATGATAACTTTACTATTGATTCAAGATGGATTCAAACATGTGAACCCATTCTTCAATATCTATTAAGAACATTTAAACAGAAACACCTCCCTCTGTCTGTCTCTGTTGTGACCTCTGAACTTTCTGAAGACAACGCCAAGCAGACTGCAGAAATCAAGACGCTGACATCAAGAATCCAGGAGCTGCAGACACGGGAGAATCTCACGGTCAGCTGTGACAACCTGACACAAGCCTGTACTGTCTCAGAAAGCAACGTGAAAGACCTGAATGCAGAAATCAAGATGCTGACATCACAGAAGGATGGCTTGACAAAGCAAATACAAGAAATGGAGACGAACTGGAATGAGCTCAACGTCAGTCGAGCTCAGTGGAGCATCAATGAGTACTGCAAAGAGGATGAAGGTATGTTCAGGAACCATCAACGAGGATAAATAAGCTTGACAATATCTATTGTAAAACAATATGCAAATGTCTCACGTTACTAAATGTGACCTTGTCTTCCTGACAGAACTCTGTGTGGTGAAAACAGAGGAAAGGCATTCACTGAATCATTGCACAGAGATATAGGGTGACCACTGTAGAAACAGATCAAATTCTTAGTGCTTGCAATATGAGAACTGTATGGCAGTATACTACCATACGAGCATATGGGTATCGCGCGTTAAACCCTCTGATTTCTCTAAAGACATTTCTTTACAACACCACACCAGTGGCGTAGCCAGGAATTATTGTGTGGGTGGGCCTGGAGAAATGTAGGTGGGCCAGGGGGAGACATATTAAGCGTGGGGTCTGAGCTGAAACTTCATTAATGATTTTAATGATTTTTTAATGCACTAATAGAACATAAGCATAAATTAGCAGTGAAAACAAAAACATAGGCACGGCGGCCTCAGAATGTGTGTAAAACTGACATCCACATAGGGATGGGTATCGTTAAGGCTTTAACGGTACTACTACTTTTATCGATAGCGCGCATGCTTAGCTCCAGGTTCAGTACCAACCACATCATAAAGTACGCGGACGATACAACAGTGGTGGGACTCATCAGGGACAACAACGAACAGGCCTACAGGGAGGAGGTGAAACATCTGACAGACTGGTGTAACACCAACAACCTGATCCTGAATGTCGATAAAACAAAAGAGATCATTGTCGACTTCAGGAACAAAAAGCACTGTCACCCACCACTCCACATCAACGGCACAGCAGTGAAGACTACAGACAGCACCAAGTTCCTGGGGGTGCATATCACAAGCAGTCTGACCTGGTCCACTCACACTACATCACTATTTAAGAAGGCACAGCAGCGCCTACACTTCCTGCACAGCTCCCCCTCCCATCCTCACCACGTTCTACAGAGGAACCATAGAGAGCGTGCTGACCAGCGGCATCTCCATCTGGTCGAGAGACTGCAACGCCAAAGACTGGAAGTCTCTGCAGAGAGTGGTTAGGACAGCAGAGAAGATCATCGGAGTGTCTCTCCCTCCCATCAGAGACACCGCTCAGAAACGCTGCCTGACAAAAGCCCAGAACATGTTTAAAGACCCCCACTCATCCTCACCATGCTCTGTTCTCCCTGCTGCCCTCCAGCAAGAGGTTCCTGCAGCATTAAGAGCAGAACAGCCAGATTCTGCAATAGCTTTTTCCCCCATGCCATCAGACTGCTGAACTGCAAGTAGACCAGTAACACAGAGATTACATTACGCTGTGTAAAGAGCACATATTTGTTATATAGTATGTCTATTTTATTTATAGGTATAGTACATTTTTATATTTTAAACGCACACTTTATCTTTAATTTTATCAGCACCACGTCACTATTATTTATTTATATGTACAATTTTAGCAAGTTTTTATATTGTCCTGTTCCTGTAAGCCAGTACAGCGATATTTCGTTTTAATAGTACACTCTGTGTCTTGTTGAAATGGCAATAAAGTATGTCTGTCTTATCGATCCGGTCCTTTAACATTACTTTTATCGGTTCTTTTGGAGAAAAAAAATAAACTAAACAAATTGTGAACAAAACTAACATTGCTTTTTATATAATTAAATACATAATATTTCACATCAAAAGAAACAACGTTTTAACAAATCGTATTAAATAATGTGATGACAGAATTGTAAACAGAATAGCTGAAACTTTAACTAAATAAATAACTCAGTTTCCTCTAATCATTAACCCATGTTTGAATAATGTAGTTAACTCGGTGTGTTGCTGCTAGCATACATAACACCTGACGTGGAAACGTTACTCGTGGATGGAGCTACAGAGCTGCTAGAAAGACAGTAAACCCGGTGCATTCCTCCGTCTGAATGTGGAGCACTTTTGATAAATGTTTAGACAAATTGCTCGTGTTACCGCCCTTACATACTAAACGCTTATTCCACTTTTGGTAACGAGTATTGTCCACATCGACACGGCTATAGTTTAACCACACCTCGGAGCGCGTTCTCTCTGCCATCTCCTCCGTGTGTGTGTGTGTTGCTGTATGTAGCAGCTGCGTGTGTGTAAACTGCCCCGCCCCCTCGCACACAGACGGGAGAGATATCTCTTAAACGGAGTTGGCGACACTTAAACTGCAATGTAATGTTGGGTGTAGCAATAATACATACAACATATATCGGGGGCACAGGTTGTTTATCCTTGACAGTCGCACAGTGGGCACACACTGAGTGTTTTCATATTCAGTAAATGTGTACACGCTAAACTGCAGACCTCAAGAAGAAATAATACTTTCATTCACTCACGGCAAAAGTTACTTTACTTACTATAAAAACTCACGGTAAAAAAATGCACTCCTTATTCCATTGTCATGAAGGTGGAATCTAACTATATCCAGAATACGTTTTATTGGATCCAGGCTAGAAACATGTTTATTTCTGCTGTAAAGTTGGGCATTTTAACATGGGGGTCTATGGGAATTGCTCCTTTTTGCATCCATCCCCTGTCGGCCACTAGATGAACTGCAGTTTGTCGAACTTCCTTCTGGGCTTCCCGGCTCTGCGCTATGAAGCGCTGATTGGCTGTGGGTGGGCCAGACGTGCATGTGGGTGCGGGCCCACCCACAGCTACGCCTCTGCACCACACATGTATTTGTTTTATTAACCTCCAAAATACAAGTAAATACTAGAAGTTTTAACTTGTGGTTAATCGTGATTAGTCGTTTTAGTGAATATCGTGATTAAAACTTGTTATCGATTGATATCAGTTTAAATGTCATTATATAATGTGTTTGTGTTTGCATTATGGTTTACTCAGTTAATTATTTTTAACAGTACTTTAAAGTGCCTTGTTGTTAAAATGAGCTTTATTTTTTGCCATTTAACAAATATATATCCCAACAAATAAATAATAATGATCACAATTACAAAGCAGTCATGTGGATAATGGGTTGGTCTCTGTTGTTTCAGTGAAACAGTGTCGACCTTGTGAGATGAACTGGAGATACCGTGAGCCTAGCTGCTATTCGTTCAATGATGTTGGGCCTACAAAGCGGTTAACCTGGGAAGAAGCTCGAGAATACTGCAGAGCGCTTAATGCAGATCTGGCTGCCGCACATAATCTAACTGAAAAGGTAACACAATTATGTAATGAAAAAGTATCTATCTATCTATCTATCTATCTACATTCCATACCTATACATCTATGTCATAACATGTTGATTTGAGTATTGTATTTAAATACCTGATGACTGTTTCTATGTTGTCAGAACATCATCAATTATTACAGTATATCAACTGATGGAAGCTGGATTGGCCTGAGAGTTAAAGACGGGAAATGGAAGTGGGAAGATGGAAGTGATCTGACTAATAGGTAAGAGACACCTTACTAAACATTTTGAATCATAACAATCGTTTAGCCTTGATCTAAACTTCCTGTTTTTCCCTCAGCTCCTGGGTAGACCCACCTACTGAGGGTCACTGTGCAATCTCTGTCTTGCGCATACAAACATGGTTATCAGTGAGCTGTGATCAGAAACAACAATGGATCTGCCAGAAGAAAGCTCTATCTGTTTAAACACTGCAGTCTACTTACTCTTACATTTTCTTTTCTTTGACTTTTTCAGAGATGCAGTAACCTCATTGATCAAATCAGTATATAGAACAGAATTTGTTTTAAATGCTGCTTTATGTTGGCCAATATCTTTGGTTTTAACATAATTAGCTCAGAGCTGTTTTCTTAAGCATTTGTATTGTGATGTCATACATTTTAATATGTAGAGATGAGAGTTATATGTGTGATTTATCTAGAAGCTAATTCTTGTTTGAGTCTATGATGTTAAATACAATTGCTGTCACACAGTGTTGTATTTATTTCCTCACAAATCAGTAACACACAAAAATAACACAAATTCATCATCAACATGTATATTAGCAGTATATTGGCTCTTTATTAGTCATTATAAAACACTTATTAATGCCTTATTCTACATGACCGCACAAACCTAAGGCCAACAGGGTGGGTGGAGGGGGTCTGGAGGACGGGCTTGGGCTAACAGCGGAGGACCCGGAAGGGGTCTCGGGCGGACGGCCCGGGGGCAAGGCAGAGTTCAAAAAGGGGGACTCGGGCGGACGGCCCGGGGGCAAGGCAGAGTTCAAAAAGGGGGACTCGGGCGAACGGCCCGGGGGCAAGGCAGAGTTCAGGGTGGGGCGAAGGCCAAACAGCTCCAGAGGCCGGGCAGGACCCGGTGTCGGCCGAACAGGAACCGGAGCCGGTAGGACCGGCTTCGGCAGGATCCCCCACGGAAGAGGACCAGGAAGTTGGCAGCACCCCCGGCGAGATAGATGATGGCGGGGCCTCCAACGGAACTGGACAAGGGGTTGGCAGTACCCCCGGCAGGACAGGTGATGGCGGGGCCTCCAACTGGACTGGACATAGAGCTGGCAGGATCCCCAGCGGAACCTCCAAAGGCACGGGACATAGAGTTGGCAGGACCCCCGATAGAAGAGTAGTCGGCGGGACCTCCAACGGAACAGGACAAGGGATTGGCAGGACCCCCGGCAGAAGAGTAGTCGGCGGGGCCTCCAACGGCACAGGACTTAGGGTTGGCAGGACCCCCGGCAGAAGAGTAATCGGCGGGACCTCCAACGGGACAGGACATAGGGTTGGCAGGACCCCCGGCAGGAGAGTAGTCGGCGGGACCCCCAACGGGACAGGACATAGTGTTGGCAGGACCCCGGCAGGAGAGTAGTCTGTGCGACCCCCAACTTGACAGGACATAGGGTTGGCAGGACCCCCGGCAGGAGAGTAGTCGGCGGGACCCCCAACGGGACAGGACAAAGGGTTGGCAGGACCCCCAGCGGAACCTCCAACGGTACAGGACATAGGGTTGGCAGGACCCCCGGCAGAAGAGCAGTCTGCGGGACCTCCAACGGCACAGGACTTAGGGTTGGCAGGACCCCCGGCAGGAGAGTAGTCGGCGGGGCCTCCAACGGCACAGGACTTAGGGTTGGTAGGACCCCCGGCAGAAGAGTAGTCGGCGGGGCCCCCAACGGGACAGGACAAAGGGTTGGCAGGACCCCCAACAGAAACTCCAACGGTACAGGACCCCGGCAGAAGAGTAGTCTGCGGGACCTCCAACGGCTCAGGACATGGGGTTGGCAGAACCCCCGGCAAAAGAGTAGTCTGCGGGACCTCCAACGGCATATGAGTAGGGACTTGAGTGGGAACTCGAGAGAGGGCTTGAGAGGGAACTCGAGAGGAAACTTGAGAGTTGACTTGAGAGGTGACTTGAAAGGGATCTCGAGAGGGAACTTGAACGGAGACTCGAGAGGTGACTTGAGAGGGAACTTGAGAGGTGACTTGAGAGGAATTTCGAGAGGGAACTCGAGAGGAGACTCGAGAGGGGACTTGAGAGGGAACTTGAGAGGTGACTAGAAAGGGAGCTCGAGAGGAGACTCGAGAGGAGACTCGAGAGGAGACTCGAGAGGGGACTTGAGAGGGAACTTGAAAGGTGACTAGAGAGGGGACTCGATAGGGAACTCGAGAGGGGACTCGAGAGGGAACTCGAGAGGAGACTCGAGAGGGGACTTGAGAAGGAACTGGAGAGGAGACTTGAGAGGGAACTCGAGAGGAGACTCGAGAGGGAACTTGCGAGGGGCCTCGAGAGGGGACTCGAGAGGGAACTTGAAAGGTGACTAGAGAGGGGACTCGATAGGGAACTCGAGAGGGGACTCGAGAGGGGACTTGAGAGGGAACTTGAAAGGTGACTAGAGAGGAGACTCGAGAGGGGACTCAAGAAGGAACTGGAGAGGAGACTTGAGAGGGAACTCGAGAGGGGACTTGAGAGGGAACTCGAGAGGAGACTCGAGAGGGAACTTGAGAGGGAATTCGAGAGGGGACTTGAAAGGAAACTTGAGAGGGGACTCGGGTAGGAACTTGAGAGGGGACTCGGGTAGGAACTGGAGAGGGGACTTGAGAGGGAACTTGTGTCGGTCGGTACGCCGACAGGACACGGGGAGCTGGCGTTGGCTGGAGAGCCAACAAGAGACGAGGTGCTGGAGTTGGCCGGTACGCCGACAAGACTCGGGGAGCTGGTGATGGCTGGAGAGCCAACAGGAGACGAGGTGCTGGAGTCGGCCGGTACGCCGACAGGACACGGGGAGTTGGCGTCGGCTGGAGAGCCAGCAGGAGACGAGGTGCTGGAGTCGGCCAGTACGCCGACAGGACACGGGGAGCTGGCGTCGGCTGGAGAGCCAGCAGGAGACGAGGTGCTGGAGTCGGCCGGTATGCCGACAGGACTCGGGGATCTGGCGTCGGCCGATAAGTCAACAGGTAACGAGGAGCCGGAGTCGGGACCATGACTGCTGGGGCCGGTACTTGAGCCGGAACCATGGCTGGAACTGGGGCCGGAACCATGGCTGCTGGGCCCGGGACTTGAGCCAGAACCATGGCTGCATGGGCCGGTTTTGGAGCCGGAAACATGGCTATAAGATCCAGTTCTGGAGCCGGAAATATGGCTGTAAGGTCCGTAGCTGAAGCCTGGATCATGGCTGTGTGGGCCGGTTTTGGAGCCGGAATTGAAGCCGGAACCATGGCTGCTGAGGCCGGAACTGGGGCCGGAACCACAGCTGCTGGACCCGGAACTGGGGCTGGAACCATGGCTGCTGGGGCCAGAACTGGGTCTGGAACCATGGCTGCTGGGGCCAGAACAGGGGCCGGAACCATGGCTGCTGGGGCCAGAACTGGGGCTGGAACCATGGCTGCTGGGGCCTGTACTGGAGCCCAAAACATGGCCTCCGGGGCTCGGGCTGCTAGGTTGGGAGTTGTGAGGCAGGGTGCTAGCATGCCTGGGGCTAGCAGGCCGGGAATCACACACCGAGAGGAAGTCGAAAATCCAGCCAGGTAAGAACTTCACTACCCCTGGCTCCTCCATAGCCATCTGGTGTGCCTCAGCCATAGCAGCCTCTCGCTGCTGAACCCTGACCGCTCCTATCCATCGATGAGCGCAGACAGACAAAGAAAAGGTAAAATCCAATAGTTCCTGCTCAAACGGATCTGCTGGGCCCATATCTCAGGTCGGTTCGTAAAGTTACGGTGTGTGTAAGATGCAGGACCCAAATGCAGATTAAAGTGACAAAAAACTCCTTTATTTCAAGGCTATACCATTAAATAAAGACTAAACAGAACACTCCTGTTGACGGTCACTGTGCAGTGTTTTACAAGGGCAGAGACATATGGTCATCAGTGAGCTGTGATAAACCACAACAATGGATCTGCCAGAAGAAGGCTTTAACTCTCTCTGTGTAAACAAAGCAGTCATACTAAGAAGGTTACTGCTAACTCTTTGAATTAAGAAAATGAAATACATTTACAGGCCTATAAATGTAAAACTATGGATTATCGTACTTAAATACAAAAATACAAATAAATACAAATTCCAAATATTTAAAAAGATGTTACCTTGTCAAACGAAAAAGGAAATAAATAACATTAATTAAATAAACTTTGCATAAACTCAATACACACAATAATATAATGTGGATTATTATAAAATCAATGTACCTTTTAGTTTGAATTTCTATAGGCTTGCAAAATAAATGCAATTTTTTATTTCCTTGACATATTTATGTTGTTTTTATCAATCTGGATGGTTACACATGGATTAAGGATCTATTGGATGAGAATGGAGATATGGAAATAATTCACTGAGGTAAGCACTGGCTGTTAATAGAGACTGCAGTTTGCATTCAACGCGGATCACAGCCAGGTAAGCCTTACCGCTGAATGTGCACATATTCACAGCTGTGTGTCTCCACTGTATAACTCCGCTCTGCCGCATGGAAGTCGCGCTGCTCTGTTGATGTGGCCATATAGAAATGTGATGCTTTGAAGGAATTGTCTTCCGATCTTCGAGTGTGTTGCAATCAGACGAATGCACTGAGGAAGCTTGAATAAACTGACGGAGAAAATGAGTCAAATAAATGTTGACGTTGAAGGTGTTGAAATGGACTATGGGAAAAGAGAACGCACACTCACTGCGAAGGCATTGGTAAATAACATCGACAAACTTCAACGGGAACGTAAAACCAGTGTGAACAAAATAAAAGCACTCATAGCAGAAATAAAAGGACACATGAGAGAAAGGGGAAATGCCTCACGTGTGCAAACTCATTTCGAGAAATTAATTCAACTGGGTGAAAAAGCCATTATTTCACATGAAATGTTGATTCCTTTACTCCCAGAGGATGAACTGAAGAAACAAGAGGAATGGTTTGCCAGTATCTTGGAATACAGTGAAAGCTTTCAGAGGGACATTAAACAGTGGTTAAAGGAGCCACAAGAGGATTTTACCACAATAACTGCTGCTGTGCTGGATATTCCAACTACAGATGACATGCAAGAGGATGTACAACCAAGTGACAGTGTGTCAAACGTGGAAATCGGAAGAAGAGCAACCCGATCACAAAATTCTGCTTTGGGGGAAAAATCTGCAACTTCTACTGCTTCGTCTGCATGCCGTAAAACAGAGGCTGACTTGGCAGCTTTAATGGCAAGAAATAAACTATTAAAGGACAAACATGAACTGGAGGAAGAGGAGGAACGAATAAGGAGCAAACTTCAGATGGAGGAGGAACGAATTAGGAGGAGAAAGGAGCAACTTCAGATGGAGGAGGATATTGCAGCACATGTGGCTAAATTAGATGTGTTGCAAACAGGGAGCATCCTAAGTGGGAAAAGTTCAAAGACAAGGCATTCGGATGGAATGAACTCTTACATTGAACAAAGAAACACTAAACCACAAGTCCTCTACACTGCTAAGGACAATATAAATGCTCCACAAATGTTGCTAAACCAAAGGGGGGCTAGCATTGACTTCTTCGATCCAACAACACGGCCTAATGAGAACATTTCACCTTGGTTCCTTTCCTCAGAGCCAGTATCCCAGAAAAAGTCCACTTTGAAACCACAAATGAATTATTGAGATAGCTTGAACGCAAGTGAAGATCAAAACAACATACTGGGCATTATGAGAAAACAAAATGAAATAACCACCCTGTTAATACAACAGCAACGCCTTTCATCCTTGCCAAAGAGAGAGATTCCAGCTTTTGATGGCGACCCGTTAAAATATCACACATTTATGAAGGCTTTTGAGAATGGTGTTGAGAAAAACACAAACAGCTACAGTGACCGACTCTACTTTCTGGAGCAGTACACTCAGGGTCATCCCAAAGGACTTGTTGGAAGTTGCCAGCACATGGATCCAGAGAGGGGATACATCAAGGCTAAAGCTCTAATCTAGGAGCAGTTTGGAAATGAGCAGAAAGTGGCATCTGCTTATCTGCAAAAGGCTCTTTCATGGCCTCCTATAAGAACAGACGATGTTAAGGCTCTGCAAGACTACAGCTTCTTCCTTAGAGCGTGTGCAAACGCAATGGAAGAGGTGCAGTATTTGCATGAGCTTGACATGGCTGTGAATATGATGATCATAATAAGAAAGTACCTTACCATTTCAGAGACAAGTGGAGAACGTTAGCCTGTGAGCTGCAGGAGAGGAACAGCCGCAGAGCAACATTCTTTGACATCACACACTTCATTGAGAGACAAGTTAAAATCTTAACCGACCCAGTATTTGGAAACATTCAAGATGCTCCCTTCATAACAACAAATACTGCTTTAAACAGATCTCAGCCTCGCTCACATTTCGTAGGAACTAGCTTTGCCACCACTGTAGCTCTTGTAGAAAAATAAACTCAGACAGATACTGAAGGGAAGGAACACATTCTGACAAGATGGAGGACATGTCTGTGCTGCGGAGGAGGTCACACCTTGGACTCGTGCCATCAGCTTGAAAAGGGAACACACAAAGAGAAGATAGGCTTCCTGATGGAGAAAGGTGTTTGTTTCGGCTGTTTGTGCGTAGGGCACATTAGCAGAAACTGCAATAAGCGAATTTCCTGTTCAAAATGTGGCTTCAAACATCCAACCATACTTCACATCCCTTCCAATGAAGCAAGACACAATCCTGCTCAAGCCAAGAATACATCGGAGCTATCAGTGGACAGCGCACTGGTTTCAAGTGGCCTTACAGGGGCTGGTGATGACAACTGTAAACTTCCCATAGTTCCAGTGCAAGTCAAGTCAACGAAGGGCAGCAAGATTGTCACCACCTATGCTTTCTTGGACCCAGGAAGTACAGCAGTGTTTTGTACAGAGGGTTTAATGCACGAGCTCGGCCTAACTGGAAAGAAGGCGCAGATTCGTTTACGAACCATAGGCCAAGAAAGGGTCGTAAATAGCCATATTGTGTTCGGACTAGAAGTGGCTGGCTTAAAAAATGACAATTTCTTTGAACTGCCACAAAGCTACACCCAAGAGTGCATGCCTGCCAGCAGTGGGAACATTCCTAGACAAGCGGACCTACAGAGATGGCCTCATCTGAAAAATGTTGGACTGTTGATAGGAACCAATGTTGCTAAGGCCTTGGAACCATTGGAAGTCATACGCAGTGTGGAGGACGGACCCTATGCAAGCAGGACAATCCTGGGCTGGACAGTGAATGGACCACTTAAAGGAGTGAGTGGGAATGCAATGAACTTTGACAAACCAGAAGTATCTGTGAACAGAATCTCGGTTGTGAATTTGGATGGACCTTGGCAACAGCAGTTCAGCGCAGACTTCCCTGAATGCAGATTGGAGGAACAAGCTGGAATGTCAAGGGAGGATCTCAAGTATAAGAAGTTTGCAAAGAGTGTTTTTTTCAGCAAGAGTCGAAGAGGAAGTGTAAAAAGAAAAGTTTTAAAGATGAGAAGAAGCCTCATCTCAAATCCCAACAAAAGCCCTCTCCTTCAACGGCTGCTCAGAAAGGCCCCGCTGCAAACAAAGAAATGGAGAACATGAAGTGGACCAACGTGCTCTACAAGGCCGAAGGACTCAAAGACAACGAGGACATGCTGAGCTCCTCGTTAAAGGAGTGGGGCGATCAAAGCGAGAATATCGTGGAGAAGATGAATAAACGGAAGAACATCCGACATCAGTGACATCTTTTCCACAGTATTGACTCTTTTCGACTGACAGACTTAAAGGACACTAAGGATTATCTTTGACTGAGCCAAGGCGGTGGTACCTTTTGGCCTAACTGACTTGTGACTCGTACACAGAAAAGAAGAAGGAAAACTACACATACATCAACTGCATGGACTTGATTACTAAGTTATAATTGTCACATGTCTCCCATTTGAATTGTTAGTAATTATTACGTATACTATCCTAATAATTAGAGGCTGGCGTGTCGGAGCCATGATCGCTGTTGATTGGTTGGCTTGGGTCACATGGGTATGGGTGGCACTCATTATAATCCTGTTCACCTGTATGAGGTGTGAGTGTGTGGAAGAGAGGGTGACACGGGGCCGTTGTACTTTTTTGTTGACCGCAAGATTACAATTGCTTCGATTATAACAATGTATATGTCTGAGAACAGAGTTTTTTCATTATACTACGAAACAGAGCTTTGGATATCAGCAAGTACTTTTTTAGCGTGTCATACAACAGCAAACAGGCCCGGCCTCAGCCTCTCAGCGACTTAGTTTGTTTCCTGCTGTCGCTACACCATCCAACAGTTAATCAGTACAACCAAACATTTTATTCTGGTTAAGAAGATGGTTGGTTTCACACGACAACATATTCTAACATCAAGTCTGAGCAGAAACATTGGCTTTTTGACATGTCATTTTTGTGTTCATGATATTTGTATCATGTTGTTGCATCTGCTTTATAAAGTATCATAACCATCATGCTTTGGGTCATTACGTTACTTCTCAGTTCCACTTTGCTTAGAAGCTACTAGCCTTACTTCTGTTTAAAGTCTCTTTGCAAGTTGGAGTCAGCTCTCTGAAGATGTGTTGCAGCAATGCGCTGTTTTCCAGTTTTCGTCCTGAAGCTTTTTCTCTTATTGAATTGGAGTTATTTTTACAAAGAGACTTGACGTCAAGAGAATAATTCAGTTTGCATTGTCTGTGAATTATATTAGTTTTTTCTTGTATATCATTGTTTGCTTATCCTATAAAATACAGCAGATGGTATTTTCACGCAGAGTGAGATGTGTACATTTAATAAAACAGGAAACTATTATTCATTTAGAGATTGAACAGCAAGTGCAGAAAGTACTAAAGGTTGGGGGTGGGGGGCGGGACTTGTCACTTCAAAACCACGGTGTGATCTAGACTCTGAAGCCTGTCAACAGTTAGGCCTGGGGTATGGGATTTGTTTTCTCAAGTTGTTTATCTTTATAAAAAAGAGATGGTGTTAGACCCTATGTGTTAGACACTGAAGCGTGTGTGAGTTCATCTGGACATGTTGACAGGCTTCAGAGTCTAGATCACACCGTGGTTTTGAAGTGACAAGTCCCGCCCTCCACCCCCAATCTTTAGTACTTGCTGTTCTGTGTGTGTGTGTGTGTGTGTGTGTGTGCGTGTGTGTGTGTGTGTATGTGTGTGTGTGTGTGTGTGTGTGTGTGGGGGTGTGTGGTGTGTGTGTGTGTGTGTGTGTGTGTGTGTGTGTGTGTGTGTGTGTGTGTGTGTGTGTGTGTGTGTGTGTGTGTGGTGTGTGTGTGTGTGTGTGTGTGTGTGTGTGTGTGTGTGTGTGGTGTGTGTGTGTGTGTGTGTGTGTGTGTGTGTGTGTGTGTGTGTGTGTGTGTGTGTGTGTGTGTGTGTGTGTGTGTGTGTGTGTGTGTGTGTGTGTGTGTGTGTGTGGCTTTAAGGTTTAGAGGAAGGGAAATGCTTTGAAATACTCTACGGACTGTGGTCGCCTGACCTGATTATTAACGTGTCTTTATGTTCTTCATTTTCACCATGATAAACATCTTTGCCTACTCTTGTCTTCTTTCTGGTGAGTTCATTTTTTATTATTCTCTTCTGTTTGATTTTTTGTTTATTTGCTAAATAAATAATTGAGTAGTTCTCTTTAAAAAAGTTAAACGTTGTCGATACAAATAGTTAATTCAATCAATGTGATAAATAATGTACACATTTGACTTCATTTGAGCATTGACACTTAAATACCAATAATACAACATGTTTAATGTTTCCTTTATTTCCACTTGTAGCTCTGAGTTTTGTGGAGATGAAGATTCTCAGCATAAGAGGCTGTGTTGGGGAAAGAGTGACGTTCAAATGCTCAGACTGGAACACTGTGCTTGATGCAAGATCTTATGATAAGTACTTTTGTAGACGTCCATGCACCGAACGCAAACACATCATCATCAAAGCAGCATCTGGAAAGACTACACAAGGAAACAGAATTCAAATATTTAACAGAGGAAATGATTTATTTGTGACCTTCACTAATCTGAAAAAGTCTGACGCTGACACATATTACTGTAGAGTGAAGAGGAATGGTCCTGATCCATGGATAAAGGTGGTTCTTAAAGTTACAGATGGTAAGTTGATGCTCTTTAGTTTAAAATCAATCCTTGATAAAAAGTAATAACTGTTCAAATAGTTGCTAAATGAATGTACTTTGTGTCTATCATTTTCAGCTGCGTCTTACGGTCCCAAGAGAACTCCAGAAACAGTGGACACATTTACAACTCTGCCACCAGCAGTGTCAAACAGCTCCACTCTGCCTTCAAACAGCTCAGATAATATCACTGATGTGTCTGCATCGAACACGACCCTGAATACTCCGACACCTTCTGCACCAGCAACACAAGCAGCCGGTGAGAAGTGCACTTGTGTACATTTGATCAAATTGTAATGCTGAGTGTATACATAATATTTTCAATGCTATAGTTGAATGATGCTCGAGCTGTTCAGAAACCCATCCATTTAAAGTCTCTCTTTTCTAACGTGGTGCTTGCCCTTAAGTCTCGATGCCTTATCAGTGAAATGATGTTATAGTATTATTCATTACATGGACCATAGTGATTGTGAGGAGTGAACTGCATTTGATCAATCTCTTAATCCCTCCTTTCCTCTCTTTGGCAGGAAGTGTACCATATTTGATTGCTGGTCTTATTTTTACATTCGCCTTAGTGATGGTCGTGCTGCTGCTTACCAGGAAGCTGATGAAGAGAGGACGGAGTAAGACACACAAACCGACTGCCTTCAATGCTGGTTCATAGTATAAGAACAATAATATGTAGACCTCTAAATACCGGACAATATACATTAAATATAAGAACATAGGATGCACTGCAGTAAGTGTAAGCACGTATCCAGGAAAGCCACTGTTCTGTAAACACAGAATTACTTAACATCAAATGATCATTATTTTGGTCAGGTTTATAAACGAATGCATTTTTCCCAGGAGGCCTTGATGTCAGCTCCCCACACGAGGACATATACAATGTGAGTTCATGCCATTTTGAATCTTTAAATATGTTCATGGCTGTTTCTGTTGGATCTTCCACACATGCTTAAATACTTCCTCAGCTGGTTTTTTCATCCTGTTAAGAACTTCTTGATCTCTGGATCAAGTAACACAAAAAAATCCCAAATAATAACGTAAATATAAAATATTGTATTTTGTTTTAATGAATTTGCTTACTTGGCTGCAACAGGAGACATCGATACATATTTGTGAAAACTGCAAATACTACAACAAATATGATTGCTTTCAACTAACCTCGTACAGTTGTGTGAAATCTGTTGAAATAATACATTTGAATAAAGTCAGCATTATAGTTTTTCAGTGTGTATCTCTATAGAAATGTCATGGAAATCCATCCAATAGTTGATCAGATACAAATTATAATTGTATTCTGGCTAAAAGAAACATGGTTTCACAATACAAGGAGAGTTACATTTTAAAGTCTGAGCAGAAACATTGACTTTTTAAAATAATGTTGTAGTACTTGTATTCATGATACCGAGAATTTGCAGAGAGGAAAAACAAAACACGTGTTCGTTGACACTTGAGCTACTTGTTGCATCTGCTTTATAAAGTATCATAACCATATCATGCTTTGGGTCATTACGTTACTTCTCAGTTCCACTTTGCTTAGAAGCTACTAGCCTTACTTCTATTTAAAGTCTCTTTGCAAGTTGGAGTCAGCTCTCTGAAGATGTGTTGCAGCAATGCGCTGTTTTCCAGTTTCATTTACATCTGGAAGAAACACATGTTCTTTTCCTCTGTTTAACATGGTTACCATCTCTCAACACAAGTCATCCATGTTATGTTCCCACAGAGTGCACGGCCTGATGAAGTCTACCAATCCCTCCACCCGTTGACAATGGATGAAGACCAAGTGTACAGCTCTCTCACAGAGGGGTCTGCTCTCCACACAACTTTAGACGACCACTGCAGCAGAAAATAATGATTCAATCTTTATTATATGTGAGATAAATGCAAACATTTCACCTCCGTCCTGAAGCTTTTTATCTTTTTGAATTGGAGTTATTTTTACAAAGAGACTTGACATCAAGAGAATAATTCAGTTTGCATTGTCTGTGAAATGAAGCTCAGCGTAAGTTCAACCAGGAAGACCGTCTATTCACTATTCCTACGTAACTACTCTCTCTCCTCTCAATAAGTGATCGGGGCGTCACTCTCCAGCTTAACCAATCACTTCGCTCTAAGCCTATCATAGCGCTCTGCCAAACCTTTTAAATCTGCTCTCCCCTCTGACAGCTGTCATTTCAGGTGACTCCATGCAACCCTCATCCACCCCTTTTCACCTCCTGTCCCTCTGAATCCAGGTTCAAGCTAGCTAAGCCCCTCCCCTTCAGACCGAACCCAACTATCCATTCACCACCACCAGGGTCAAGCTAAGCCCCTCCCCTTCAGACCGACTCCAACTATCCATTCACCACCACCAGGGTCAAGCTAAGCCCCTCCTCTTCAGACGAAACTCAACTATCCATTCACCACCACCAGGGTCAAGCTAAGCCCCTCCCCTTCAGACCAAACCCAACTATCCATTCACCACCACCAGGGTCAATCTAAGCCACTCCCCTTCAGACCGACCCAACTATCCATTCACCACCACCAGGGTCAGGCTAAGCCCCTTCCCCTTCAGACCGAACCCAACTATCCATTCACCACCACCAGGTTCAAACTAAGCCACTCCCCTTCAGACCGACCCAACTATCCATTCACCACCACCAGGGTCAAACTAAGCCACTCCCCTTCAGACCGAACCCAACTATCCATTCACCACCACCAGGGTCAAGCTAAGCCACTCCCCTTCAGACCGACCCAACTATCCATTCACCACCACCAGGGTCAAGCTAAGCCCCTCCCCTTCAGAGCGAACCCAACTATCCATTCACCACCACCAGGGTCAAGCTAAGCCCCTCCCCTTCAGACCGACCCAATTATCTATTCAGCACCACCAGGGTCAAGCTAAGCCCCTCCCCTTCAGACCGACCCAACTATCTATTCACCACCACCAGGGTCAAACTAAGCTCCTCCCCTTCAGACCGAACCCACTATCCATTCACCACCACCAGGGTCAAGCTAAGCCCCTCCCCTTCAGACCGACCCAATTATCTATTCTATTCACCACCACCAGGGTCAAGCTAAGCCCCTCCCCTTCAGACCGACCCAACTATCTATTCACCACCACCAGGGTCAAACTAAGCTCCTCCCCTTCAGACCGAACCCAACTATCCATTCACCACCACCAGGGTCAAGCTAAGCCCCTCCCCTTCAGAGCGAACCCAACTATCCCTTCACCACCACCAGGGTCAAGCTAAGCCACTCCCCTTCAGACCGACCCAACTATCTATTCACCACCACCAGGGTCTAGACCCCAGGGGGGTTTCATTTGATCGGTTCAACCCTCCCGAATGATACTTCCTGCACAACGGGGCCTAATCGCCAAAATCACCATTACATTCATTTGCGTATCTTTGCAATAAATATGTATTCTTACATCAAAACCGTCTCTCCTGATTGAATTATATTAGTTTTTTCTTGTATATCATTGTTTGCTTATCCTATAAAATACAGCAGATCGTATTTTCACGCAGAGTGAGACGTGTGTCCATCACATTACTCCACAGAGCTTTGATCTTTTTTGTACACATTTCTTTTTTTCTAGTTTCCAATCAAACATAATTTTGAGACTCCCTAAAATGCTGCTCTGAAGTCAGTTGTGGTGGACACAAGCAATGGCTCATAGATTCAGATTTGTTTAAGCAACACACCTTTATGGTTATTTGTTATGCACTTGCTGTTACGAACTCAGAAACTCAGGGTATAGGACCCAAATGCACGACCCAGGAGACAGAGGTAAAGTATTAGTAAGCTACTTTATTTTCCAAATATGAACAGGAAAAGCACAATCTAATCTATCAGTGCTTCTCAAAGTGTGGTCCGCGGACCACTGGTGGTCCGTGAGCGCCCCCTAGTTTTCCGTGAGTATATTGGTAACATTTCACATTTAAAATAGATAAATACATTTAAGTTTTCCGCACTCTCGCGGGAATATCTCCGCAAAGGAGCGAGCTTAAGTTTCACTTTCAATTGCATGATATAGCCCAGCGCAACACCTTCGTCACACATGTTGCCACTTGCTTGTATCATTTTCAGGCAATTTGTAATTTGTTCTAGAAAAGCGATGTGATTTTGGATATTTGTGGAGTAAGGTGGTCCGCGAGTGTTTTTTATTGGTTAAGTGGTCCTTGGTATGAAAAAGTTTGAGAACCACTGCGTCTAGATGAGATGACAAAAATGACTACAAAAGAAAATCGCTCACGTAGTGAGGAACAAAAACATCTCGTTATCAATGAGAGCATAGGCATTCACTGGAGAGCATAGATCTGTCTGAGGCATAAGACAAGACGAACTGACCAAGAACACATGGGAGACTGGGGAATTTAAACACAGGATAACAAGACACAGGTGGGAACAATCAGGGGCGGGGCTGGTGCTGATGAGCGCGGGAGACACAAGAGGTAGATGATCAGGGAGCCTGGAATGACAGGTAAATGGTGAGTGACAAAACAATACAGGAAGTGGAAAACAATACAACCATAAAACATCATAAAATGAGACTCTCTCAACATTTCTGTCGGTGCACAACACTTGCATTGCAAAGCTATGCTATTTGGTCAAACGTGATTTAAACCTGTCACATTGAGGGGGCTCAGCCCATAGTGAGGGCCCCCTCAAAGTGTATTTTAGAAATTAAGAAACGATATCTTGTTGTGTTTCTGGTTAGAGTTAGGCATGGGGTTAGGAATTTGTTTTCTCAAGTTGTTAGATTCATTTTAAATCACTTGTGTATTTGTTCAAAACCTTTTCTCTTTTTTAACTTTATAAAAAAGAGATGGTGTTAGACACTGAAGCGTGTGTGAGTTCATCTGGACATGTTGACAGGCTTCAGAGTCTAGATCAGTGGTTCCCAAACTTTTTGTGCCCAAGGCACACCAAAGGACAAGTAAAAATCTCAAGGCACACCTATTGTGCAAAATAGCCCTTATAACACGTGTTATCACTCATATCATGTAAAATATCTGTAAATATGCATAATTATTTACTAATGCCAAATAAAATGTGACAAAGACAACTATATTACTCATGAAATATTTATTAACGAAATATTTCAGAAATTAATTTGAAACTTTATCAAATTAGGTTTCATCAAAGCAGCAACACACTCATTTAAACCAGACAGGTCACACAATTAACATTTCAGCAATCAGCATTGAAACATGTGCTATTGTAAATATTGTTGCCGACTTACAAATCAGTGAGATACATGTGCCTGTCGGGGCGCGCAGAATTTTGTAATCCTTGGTGGCACTGAGGAGAGGACCACTCGCAAGTCCTGTTCAACAGAGAGCCGTGAGTCCCGTGACCTCCTGTTGTTCTTCATGTAAATCAGAGTAGAGAACGCCAACTCCAGAGATGGGGTCGTTACTACTTTTTTTTAATATATTACATATTACTTTAAAAAAAAGTAATATATTACACTACTTCGTTACTATCTACATAAAGTAACTCGTTACTTTACTCGCTGAGCACGTACGAACTTGCACATGCCTGAGTGGCAATAACTTTCCTTACCAGCAGGCAGCGGTAGTGTGTATTTGTCATTCAAAACAGGCAACAACTGGAAGACAGAGAAGAAGAACAGACGACTTGATATAAACAAACAACAAATAGCGTGTGCGGTAGCTTCACCTTAGCATGTGTTCTTTGCAGGTGTGTGTTGAGGTTTGACCACGTGGTGTTTACAGCAGTGGATAACAGCTTCTGGCCTGGACACAGTTTGCACCTCACCGTCACATTCCTGTCTATTCTTCGGACGAACTCAAAATAATGGGCATACCTCCACCCCTCGAAAGTTATCGCTGACTCAGCCATGTTTATGCAGCACTGCACGTGGAGATGTGGACGCGCAAGTCGCGCAGATTACGTACATATAAACCTACAAAGTACTGATATAGTAAATAAAAAAAATATTATTTTTGTGTAGTTGTATATTGCAATAATAACGTATGGTTGTCACAAAATCCCACGGCACACCCGGACTTGCCTCACGGCACACCAGTGTGCCGCGGCACACCGTTTGGGAACCACTGGTCTAGATCACACCGTGGTTTTGAAGTGACAAGTCCCGCCCTCCACCCCCAATCTTTAGTACTTTATGCACTTGCTGTTCTATCTGTTCGAATTCTAAATGAATAATAGTTTCCTGAGTTATACTCCCCTATACACCAACACAGTCTTACTGTGTGTGTGTGTGTGTGTGTGTGTGTGTGTGTGTGTGTGTGTGTGTGTGTGTGTGTGTGTGTGTGTGTGTGTGTGTGTGTGTGTGTGTGTGTGTGTGTGTGTGTGTGTGTGTGTGTGTGTGTGTGTGTGTGGTGTGTGTGTGTGTGTGTGTGTGTGTGTGTGTGTGTGTGTGTGTGTGTGTGTGTGTGTGTGTGTGTGTGTGTGTGTGTGTGAGAGAGAGAAAGGGTGGAGCTCTAAGGTTTAGAGGAAGGGAAATGCTTTGAAATACTCTACGGACTGTGGTCGCCTGACCTGATTATTAACGTGTCTTTATGTTCTTCATTTTCACCATGATAAACATCTTTGCCTACTCTTGTCTTCTTTCTGGTGAGTTCATTTTTTATTTGTATGCTTTTTTGTTTATTTGCTAAATAAATAATTGAGTAGTTCTCTTTAAAAAAGTTAAACGTTGTCGATACAAATAGTTAATTCAATCAATGTGATAAATAATGTACACATTTGACTTCATTTGAGCATTGACACTTAAATACCAATAATACAACATGTTTAATGTTTCCTTTATTTCCACTTGTAGCTCTGAGTTTTGTGGAGATGAAGATTCTCAACATAAGAGGCTGTGTTGGGGAAAGAGTGACGTTCAAATGCTCAGACTGGAACACTGTGTTTGATGTAAGATTTAATGATAAGTACTTTTGTAGAAGTCCATGCACCGAACGCAAACACATCATCATCAAAGCAGCATCTGGAAAGACTACACAAGGAAACAGAATGCAAATATTAAACAGAGGAAATGATTTATCTGTGACCTTCACTAATCTGAAAAAGTCTGACACTAACATATATTACTGTGGAGTGAAGAGGATTGGTCCTGATCCATGGATAAAGGTGGTTCTTAAAGTTACAGATGGTAAGTTGATGCTCTTTAGTTTAAAATCAATCCTTGATCAAAAGTAATAACTGTTCAAATAGTTGCTAAATGAATGTACTTTGTGTCATCATTTTCAGCTGCGTCTTACGGTCCCAAGAGAACTCCAGAAACAGTGGACACATTTACAACTCTGCCACCAGCAGTGTCAAACAGCTCCACTCTGTCTTCAAACAGCTCAGATAATATCACCGATGTGTCTGCATCGAACACGACCACTACGACAACTACTCCACCAGCAACACAAGAAGCCGGTAACACAATGCACTTATTTGAACTTACACAAATACATATACCTTTTACGTGTATATGGAGATTTTAATGTTAATTGGAAGTGCAATTTTTATTTAAAATAATCGGTCCAGTACATCAAGGTGGTGAATATGACATAATGAAAATAACGCTTGTTTGATGAGTGAAAATATACATATTTGTCCCATTAATTTCCTCTCTGCTTTCCAAATGTGAAAGAATGATATAATGGTAGACCCAATATCTTGATACGATGATAAAACAATGTTCAATTAGTGAACCTCATGCATTCCACCTTAGTGAGGATCCTTTGAATACAACATGTTCTGTTCTTTTGACATTTCTTTTACATGTCCTAAATATATAAAAATGAATGTATTGTCTATATATATAATATATATAAAGATCAGTATGTCCAAGTGTGATCAAGCTTCTCTCATTAACTTCCTCTTTCTCTGTGTTTGTTCAGGGAGCATACCATATTTGATCATAGGTGTCATTCTCTTAATAACCTTACTGATGGTGTTACTGAAGTTTATGAGCAAGAAGATGATGAAACAACGGAGTAAGACCCACACACCAACACACATTGTGTATATGTGAATGCACCAGTAAAGCTTCCACAAGACATATTAACAAATGTTATCCTATGTGTTTGCAGAAGTTGTTTCAACAGCTGTAATGCCACAGGAAGACGCACGAGAGGTGAGAGTTGGAGGGCAGATGGTTTCAGTTTGCTTTACGACAGAAACATTCCCCTGTGTGAGGCTCGGGCGTTTCTGTTTCACCTTTGGCATTCATTTCATATTTCTTACTTTAATGCCGTTTAGGACACCTTTTTCGTTACTGAGCTCAGCATTACTAACACAAAGAACACCTAGAACATCAGGTCTCATTAAAAGACAAAGATCCTTGGTACAAAACAACACTTCCCTTTTCTTTCCCTACTGTAGGGAAAGTGTAGTAATACAGAAGCTGCTGGTGGACAAAATGTGTTCTGCAAGGTTCTCTTTATGAACCTTTTGAGGCAAGCGTAGGAGTTTAAACCAGACAGCGGTTTTAAACTGTGAGGTCTGACACTTAAAGCCCACATCTGTTCACCCCAGCTGACTTTAGCAACCACTTCATTCAAGTCAGACAGGAAATCAGGCTGCATCATTGAGTGGCTTAAAGCAACTGGATCAAACATTAAATGACTGGAGATCTATCAAAAGAACTGCCCTAAATAAAAATTGAACGACTTTAGGAAAAGTAGAAAATTAATATAGAAAATAAGTTGAATATGTATCGTTACATTTTTATGTCCTTCCTAATCTTTTTTACATTATAAAGGATAATTATTTTAGTATTATAACAGTATTTATATTATTTTACGTATCATTGGCTGTTGTTAGGATTATACTGGTATCATCAATCTTTCACAAAGCTAGAAGCTGTATTCTCCGGTCACACACAATCAGCAGTCTGAGGAAATCATTTTATGGACTTGTCTTGATCAGCATTCTGTATAATATTCAAACATACAAAGTAAGGTGGAAACAATTAGTTGACCTGCTCTGTTTTAAGCATGCAAATGCAAAAATGATATGTCATTTCAAGACATGTTTGTGTAGCCAATATTGTAAATGTCCATCACAACATACAATAATGGGGTTCATTGCCATAGTGTAGTTAGTGTTGCTTTGCTTTCCTTGATTGTTTCTGGATTTCAGGAATGACCTCCTGAAGAGATCAGACTTGTACTGGGTATTTGTTATGTGAACAACCAACTGTAGCGGTGTTAAGAATGTGGTCAAATCAGATTTACTGACTTCAGATCTGTGTTTTATTGTTTATTTCTCCCTGTTTCTAATTCAAGGAAGCTGAATATGATGAAATCAGACATGAAGAAGCGACTGACCCGGACAGCCTCTATGCTAATAATTCCTTCCTCCAGGATATCGGATCAGCAGCTGCTCGATGTGAGACGGATTCAAGGGGGGCGTGTGCAGAGAGCAGAGCCAACGTGCTGTATTCTGTTGCTCAACTACCCAAAGACCAAATGAAACCCACTGGGCAATCACAGACAAATCAATCTGAAAGTGCCGGAAATGACTCTTTCTACGACCTGGCTCAACTACCCCAGGCACCCTGAAGGAGGCCACTGTGGGAAATGCATACAAAGGAACTTTTATGATTAAACATTTGATTAGTTTTGAATAAAACAGTAGACATATAATGTAATATAGGACATATATAAGGCAGGATAGAAGAGTAAATGAACAAGTTAGTATCCGTACACATGGTCCAGCCTTACTTAAAAAACAAGTGAGACATCTAGAAAGAGTTGCGGTGTATCTACCTCTGCTCCCATCATGGATACGGTTCAACCGCAGAGCTCCTATGAGAGGAAGACTTTTTCCCCAGAGGCAAATCAATATAAAGTCCACAAATATTCCACTGTAACAACTCAAACTGCACTTTTTAATATACATCTATTACTATACAAATGTGAGACACTGTCAGTCCACTTGTTTCTCATTATAATATTAATATTCATATATGTATTCTTACATACGTGTAAAGTTATATGTGTCTTATTCTTAACTTTGACTTCTACATAAGTTGCTTTCTTGCAAACTAGTGGAGTTTCTGAAGCAGAACTGAAGCTTTGTGATATGTGACCTACTTGTGTTTTCTTTGTTACCTTGCAGGATATTGCATAATTGCGCAAACAACCTTTGTGTTCAAGTGAAACTAAAAGTAATTGTTGGGAGAAAACTGAATGTTCTCTTCTGATATCAGAGTAGCACATGATAACAGAGGCCCTATGTAGCTGTGTGTAGCCGGATGTCTGACTACATGGATGCCGCTTATGAGACACTGTGTTGAAGTTATGATAGCTATGTTCCTAAGATTGGCATGATGACACAGCCCCTAGAGAGACATATGACTGTCCTGTTTATTGCTTACGCAGGCCTTAGCTAATCTGAACTAATGTCAGAATACTGCTTTGAATGAGTATTCTTCCATCTTGTTGACTGTCACACCCTCTCTTATAATTGATAAGCATATCAAGGACTCTACTCGAGAACTACTTGTCCCACGCAGCCCTGTGTGTGATGACTACTTCCATTCTTGCAAGGATAATAAATACATGTATCCTGATATTGAAGACCAATATTTTTCTAACAGTAATGGATCTATATATGAAGGAACGTATACAGTACATCCAAATAAAGTTATTATATATTTTAAAAGTTTGTTTTCTGAGAGTCGAGTTGTGTGCATTGTCCCCAGGATCATATGTTTTGTATGTAATCTGTTGGCATTTCACTGATTACGATATTACAGATACATTCTTGTGTATTCCTCTTAGTTTTTAATCAAAAAGTTTACCTATTGAGCGATTGCTTTTCTAACTTACTAGGCTAAATGTTGTGTCTAAAGGCTGCTAGGGTCGAAAAGATACGTTTAAGTATCAGACCTCTACGGAGCCCCTAAAGTTCATGTTAATAAAACAAAGTATCTTGTGCGCACAATATACTTTCTCATGGTGAGACACATCGAACTGCCCGATTATTAAGCCCTGTTATTAGTTTTATGAAGAAGATGTCTGGTCGCCAGGGCGTGTGTGTGTGTATGTGTATATGTTTGTGGGCATTTGTTTTCAGAAGATATTATGATAGTGGCGTTCGTTCCGGTGCACTCCGACAGCATTTAGCACTACATCGAGATTAAGATTAAACGAAGTTCTTTCATTTGGGAATACACATATGGAGTTAGCCAGATGTCTGTAAATTACTGTTCATGGTAATTTGATGCCGGTGTCGGACACACACATACACCGAACACACACACAGAGCGGAGCTGAGCAGTGCACAAACACACACACATCATGTAGCATTTCCCTCCGAATAATGGTCGAAGACTTGACTGATGATATTAATTTATTGAAGTCTCCAATATCAACGTAAGAGCTTCTGCCTCTTCGGGGGGTGCTAACACTTAAATGTATCCTTTACTTTCTCCGTCTTTATATGTAGTCTTTTCTCCGTTAATCTCCGCTCCTGTTCTCTATCACGTTGTTTCCAAGCCCCCAGGAAGTGCACCGGACTCTGAGGAAAATATCTTTATATATACAGTCTATGGGAAATATTCGTAGTGGCCAAACTGCGGTACTACATCTTCCGTATCAGTCCGTGACGTTACTGCACTGAAAACAAGGGGAAAGTGGGGTTGTTCAATTTGCAAATATGCAGTTAATGTATGAGACAGAATGTATTCATGTTTCTCATCGAAACATCAATCAATCATGTAGAACTATTTTAATCTTGAGGGGTGTACGTTCTATAGAGAGGCGAAGTCCCTCCCTTTCCTCCATGGGACCTTATTTCGGAAAAATTATGTATTGAAGTCAATGGAGAGAGAAAGATTATCTTTCGATCCCGTTTGAATTGTGCCACGAATTACACATATGATGTTTGTCCATTTAAAAGATAATTTTGCCAGTAAAAAAAAAAAAAAGTGTCGTAAAACTGTGAAGTAACACATTTGTTTGTGTGAAACGCTGAATGAACTACATCTCTGGTCTTGCAGAACAACACACGTCACAAAGATGGCCGTCACTACTGTCTTGCTAAACAAGGGATTGACTACCCTCACTATCACCACAATGAAACACGTCCAGAAGAATGTCATGCAAAGCTGCCTGCCTGCCTTCCTTTGATTCTCTCTAAACTGCCTGATCTTTTTAATGTTTAATGTCAACCATTTGTGCAGATAGCAGAAGTAGAACAGATCGCCGATGCTAATGTAACGTTAGCGTTTCTCCCCCGGGCTTAAATGGTGTATTATAGAATGATCTATTTAGTTCTATTCAAAGGGTTCACGAAATATGACTACTACTCTTACTGTTTAACATTTTGGCTTACTTAATGTTACTTCATGTTAAGGCTAATACAAATGACAAGGCTAAGGCTGTAATGCTAACTAACGTGCTTGCTAGGGTAGCTAACTTGATCCAGCCACTTGAAGCGAAAGAACGAGCAAGACCCATTGCTGGTATGATAACAACCTGGTACTAAGCACACAGGCATCTTGTTAAAGTTATCTTATCTTAGCTATCTCTTATATTTAGCGGAGGAAAACAACTGTGACATCAGTTACGACATCACTTACGCGACTCTGGGATTTGTAGTCTTTCTAGTTGCGGATCATAGTCTTATATTTCAACAGTTTTACGACAAACTGTGACTTTTTTTACATGGAAATTATTTTTTAAATTGCATGTCTACTCTTGGGGCGGTGAGGCAGGTTGTAGCCTACCTTACGTTAAGCGACCATCTTTACCCATTTAAGGTGTTGATTGTTAAAGATATATTACAATACTGTCTGTGGGACCGCAGTGTTTTCTCTAAAAAAAAGTGTATATGTATCTGCTTTGATCCGCTCTGTGTTCATGTAAATACCGTAAATGCACAGTGGAGGATATTAATGATTGTGTTTTTTTAGCAGTGGTGCACATTCCATGAATATGGGGGACATGATCTTAAAGTAAGGGTTACGATCACCGCTGTGAAATGAATGTATCTTCCATATTTGCTGCACTTGTGTTTACGGAAGTTGAGATGTTTCTCGGTTGTGATTGGTTGTTCCTCGTCACATGACGAGCGGTGCGCGCTAGTTGAAGGCCAGAAAAAAAGACCTTGACAATGGCAGTCAGTGCACGTCTCCATTGAAACCAATAAAAATGAGCTTGCAACGCTGATGTGTATGGCTCCGTACAAAGTTGTACTCATTGCATTAGTATACTGTAGCTTTTTACACTGGAGGCGCCCATCTTGGCTGAAGTCGGTTCATATCATTATGGTAAATGTCGCCTTTAAGGAGCAGAACATTTTTGTTTTATTTGTGTGTGAATAATGAAATAATTTCAAATGTGTTTTTCTTTGATAGGTAATTGGTGTGGAGAAGATTAACCTCAGCCTTGCTTTGAACATTGTTCCAAAGGCTCTGTAGTAAATGGTGAGTATTCAAATGTTTTGTGTGATTTATTTGACTAACTTAAACTTGATCTTTAACTAATTGAAAACTGGTATTAGTCTGAACATTTCTGAATATTTATTCATAACATTTACATACTGCAAACATTGCAGGGATATACACATTTTCTGATTTATTTGGCAACAGTTATTCAGAAAGTGAGAGGCAAAAGCCAAACATTCTGCGATAAATCCTCCTTCACAAAAGGGTTAATGTTTTGTTTGTTGAAATGGCTATAAGGGTGTTTCTTATATGTAGTCTTACATTACAGTAATACTTATTACTATAAGTCGCTTTGGAAAAAAACGTAAATTAAATGTAATGTAGTCTAACCTGGTTGTTCGTACTTGATATAAAAAGTTATTCTCACTATATCACAACACCATTCAACAGCACCACAGATTCCATCCTCCAAAAAGAGCTTTTGTAAAAAGACCTCTCACAGAGTTTTAACAAAAAGTATGATCACCTCCATGAAGGAAGGATTTATTGCAGGACTTGTGCATTCGACTGCATTTGATTTTGCTAGGAACAACCAAAAACCCTGCATTCTTGGAACACAATGCCCTGGTGGGACAGTAGGTATAATGAACTCTTTAAGATAAAGATGGCGCCTGCCCATTAAGGGCTTTGTAGGCGAGAAGAATAATTTTAAATTCTATCTTGTGTTCTACAGGGAGCCAAAACAGGAGTAATGTGGTCCCTTTTCCGTGCTCTGGTCAATACATTTTGAATCAGCTGAAGCAACTTAACTGACTTCTTGGTACACCCTGATAATAAAGAGTTACAATAAGCTAGCCTTGAAGTAACAAATGCATGGACTAGTTTCTCTGCAGCGTTTTGAGGCAAGATATGCCTGGTATGTGATTTTGTAAATACATTTAGCACACAACTACAATCATAACATCATTAGAAAATGAAATTATTTGATGATTTTTATGACTGATATTTTGTTTTCTTTGATAAATGCGGAGTTTAAACGTATAACAACCCTGCCCCTCCAATCAAGATTTCTCTCTCAGCTGGATGTGCTATCTGACAAACTTCTGAAGATTTTTGAGAAGAGAGGAGGACAGATACGTAGGCCAGCGTCTGAACTGAATTATGTCAAACATGCAGTAGTGACTGGTCAGCCCCACATAGTGTCAGCAGAAAGTATTAAAAATAATGATTACAAAAAAATGCAAAAAAAAAAATAATATTATAAAATATATTTTAAGATCATGTTTAATCATCTGATTCGTCTCATTGCTGTTTTAGTCTGTGTTCTTCTAATTTGTGTCTACAGTGTGTGCCTATTGAGTTGTTTAGAGCCATGTGGGACAAAACCCGATCCTGCCCCTCCCTCTCACTGTCTAAGTGAATGGTGACTGTACAAACTACACTGCGCATGCTCAGAGTATTGTCCTATTTAATGTGTGTGGCAAAAACATAATGACCATAGGGGCACTGAGCTGCCATCCCCACCATACGTCATCTCACATAATTCAGAGCTGATTGGCTGTAAGTACGTGTGCCGCGAAAAGTGTGGTGTGTGAAGAGCAGACGAGAGACGCGTCCTAAAACCAGGAAGTAAGCTGCGCATGGGTTCCCTCCACAAAAAAGCAATGAGATTTCTTCATAGGATTTTAAAAAATAGCTCAAAATAAGATCTGTGGGAAACGTACCTGTTAGATGAATGCACGTTTTGTTCAGCCGGATAATATCCACATGTCTACCCTACTTTTATAATTTTCGAATCATAAATCTATCGATTAGATTTATGATAGACTTTTGAAACTACAAGAAGATAAGGAGGACTTTTACAAAAAAGTAAGAGGGATTTTTGTCCAGAAGGATAGGCAAATGGACGTCATCTTCAAGTCAAGGTAAGACCGCAATTTTATTGAAAATGGGATCTTACTAAGAGAGAACAATTCAATATTTAACTTGTTAAGCCCCGAGCCTGTTTTTCAGGTCTCAGGCTCGAAAATGACATTCCCAGAACAAATGACCATATCTTTCCCTTCTAAAAGGGTTACATTAATAATCTTTTTTCTCAAAGCAAGGTTACACATGTGAGTTGGATGTAGAAGTGTCAGAATCAATATAGATGTTTTTATTTTAAAGTAAATTCAGATTGA